ACCAATTTCTCATTTTACTCAACCTTTGACGAGCCGCTAAGTCGAACTGCACATTGAGCTGGTCTAGTGGTGTCCCTCTTTGGAGCTGTGTCTCAACTGAACCCAGCCGAGCCATGCCAAGGTTTTATTCATTTAGTTTTATTATTTATTTGTTTATTAACATTATTATTAGTATTATTTTTGCTTATCTATTTATTGATCAAATTAAAATCTTTTATTTACTTAATTAAACATCCTTAAATTTTCAATGATTTTTAAAAAATTAAAAGCTTCAAAGAAATTTTTTGAAGAAAAGTTGAAAGTATCAATTTTTCTTGAAAATAAAGATTTCAAAAAGGGATTTTTGAGAAAAAGTTGAAAGTATCAATTTTTCTTGAAAATAAAGAATTCAAAAAAATATTTTTGAGAAAAAGTTGAAATTATCAGTATTTCTTGAAAATAAAAATTTTAAAAAAATAATTTTAAGGAAAAGTTGAAAGTATCAATTTTTTTTAAATAAAATTTTCAAAAAATATATTTTGGAGGGAAAGTTGGAAGTATCAATTTTCCTTTAAAATAAAACTTTCAAGAAATGTTTGTTTGAGCAAAAGTTGAAAGTCCTAATATTTCTTGAAAATTTTTAGTATAAAATAATTCGACGACGGAGCCTCTGCAAGAGAAATAGTAGTTTTCTTGTATACTCTTGAGATGAGAGAATTTTTTAAATTTTCTTCCAAAAGTATTGGAGTCAATTAAAAAATTTTTCAATAATTAATTACTTGGTAAAGTTTTAAGGCTTAATGGATAACATAAAATCAAGCTAATACCATCTTTCGATAGGTGTTGTGGGGGTGCTATAACCTTATTCACATATAACCGTACTCTCGAACCTAATTCTAGTTTCATAGGCATTGAATCTACCTTTTAAAGATACCTAAGTCAAATTTAAGATTTCTTTTAAAAAGGGATAGATTCGGTGAAGTGGGCAATCGCACCTAAATAAAAAAAGATTAGTGATAACTCATCAAGTCAATGTCAAGCGATAGATCCCCAGATCTAGACGTTATGACATATACAAGAAAACTAAAGCCTATAAGATGGAAAACAACTTAGGTTATGTTTTGTAAAAAAATGAAAGAATATGTGTTGACATATAATTGCTGTGAATTGACCTTACTTTAATTGTGAGTAGGGATATAATTGATCAAGTTCAAATTGATATAGTATTAAACTCAAGTTCAAGCTTGATTTCAAATTTAAAGCTCAAAATTAAACTCGAACTTGATCAAGTTTTATCTTTTTAGCTTGAATTCAATTCAAGATAGAAATTAAGCTATTCGAGCTTACTCGATTAGGTTGATTAACATGTAAAAATAAGCTTGATTCTTAGATTCGATAAAAATTCAATTATTTGTACTGCGAAGTCGAGTGTAAAATATTTTATCAATTAAAATAATTAAAATTTATTAAAATATAAAAGCTAGATTAGGCTTACGAGTAACTCGAGTCATGCATAAAAATGCTTGAACTCGATTCAATTGATAAGTTAAGTTACTCAAGTTTTAGCTCGACTCGATAATAAGAAGTCGAATTTAAGTTTTATTCGAATCGAATTCAAGAAACTTACGAGTACCAATATATCATTTACACTCCTAATTGTGAGTGGCTTCATCGCCTCTTCCTTAAGCAGTCCTTGACAAATGGCACATCAAGAATACTGATATTCTCTACTTTTTACGCTATTTGATTAAAAAAAAAGAAAAAAAAAAAGAAAAACACTTTTACTTATAACATATTAATTTGATAGTAAAAGTTGTTTAGTGGCATATAAATTATATTAACCACAGAGTGACAAGGCCCATAGATTATAATTATATATTTATATTCTAAATTGAATTATTGTGGATGACTAACAAAGGATTTAAAAATTTTTAAGTTTAATTCATTTGATTTTCTTTTATGCAATTATTTTATGAGATTAAGTTTAATAAATCAAATTCACACTTTAATTTTTATAAATTTTTTATTTTCAAATTGTATTTTTTTTACTAAAAAAATCACATTATTTGGCCTTTAGACTCCAACAACTCACCACTATAAAAAATAAAAAAAAATTAATGGCATAATCATTCAAGAATTCATTTTGAAGATGAGAAACAAAATTCGCACTAACATTTGGTGCTACTTGATATTAAGAAGTCCAAGAAATTCCAAAACCAATCATTATTTAATAACTTGTAATAATTAATAGTGAAAAGTAAAAATAAAGTAAATTCTTATATAAATTCATAAATATTCCCTCCATCCCAAATTGCTTTATGGTATTGAACTTCAGGAATTTTTTTTAAAATTTGATTTTAATGTATTTAATATTAAAATAAATTTTTTATAAAATTAAAGTTTCATGATTTTTAATATTAAAAATAAAAAAATTTTAAATATAAAAAAATAAATATTTTAAATATTCTAAAAAATAGAATATAATTTTAAGATATTACAAAAAGAAAATATGGATAAAGAAAGTGAAACAGAAAAAGTATGTAATAATTCTAATAGAAAATTTTTTACATATAAAATAATTATTCTTTAATACCTTCTAATTATTTTATTAATTAATATATCAATAATTATGTTATTATTTTTATTAAAAAACTTGTAACTATTTTATTAATCAATATATCAATAATTATGTTATTTTTTTTATTAAAAAACTTTCAAGTCTTTAATGATATTTTTTCTTTCATTTCAAAGTCACAAATGTTTTTGACGCATTTGTTTCATCGCTAGTTTCAGTCTTATCTATCAACTCTCAATATCATCGTTGAATGATCAATCTCAATATCACCACTGTATTCAATTTCTCTACAGTGAATTTCGTTGCTATGCTGAATAAGATCTAAGGGGCTTAGGTTGTGACTTTCGCAACTATTACCTTATTCTTATTGGTAGGATTGAAAATATAAAAATAAAAAAGTCGATTGAAATTATATTATTTGATTCAATTTAAATGAGTTTTTTTGTTGTATTCGTTTCAGCTTCTAATCTTGAATGCTTTTGTTCGATTTGGTTTTTGATTCATGGAGTAAAATTTGAAATTATTCAAATAAAATTATATTTTATTAAATTTTACATTATTTTTTAATTTTTAAAAATTATTTTATTTGTAAATAGATGTAAATAAATATAAAATAATATTAAAAATTATATAAAATCTATAAAATTTTTTATTCATCATTATATGCATATTTTTTCTCCATCAATTTAATTGTAATATTTTATTATTAAGCTTTTTCTAAATTAAACAATAATATTTTTATTTATTTTCATATATATATTATACTCTTTTTAAGATCAATTTTAGTATTTCATATCTAGCTAGAACCCTAATTAATTTTAATACAAGTATCTATGATTTTTTTTTAAATGTTTAACTATATATAAGTAAAATCAAATACTTACCATTAAACTACGATTTTAGTTCAACTATTTAGAATTGCTATAGAAAGTGTTTTTTTACCCCTAACTTCTAGTTTCTACTAAATTAGTTTATTTATTTTAAACACAAAATGAGACATATTTTTCACTTAAAAATAATTTTGCTTTTTTAAAATTATAGAATTCAATTAAATAAATATACAAGACTTAATTATGCTAATTTTATACTAAAAAAATAGCAACTAATACAATATAATAAACATACTAAAGTTTTAATCGATCTTAAATATGAATCCCAAAGATGACTGATAGAAATTGATAGGTTACAAAAATATTCAAATCCAATTGAACACATAACAATAATATATGTTTCCTAGCAAAAAAATTAATTACATTAATTACATTAATCTTAATTATATCTTTGAATATATATGGCTTATGGAATAGGGGTTTGTACTTGTGTTTGTGTATTATCACTTTATGGTTTAATTGATAGATTATATGCATTCACTTTGACAAAATGATAAAATCCAAACTTGGGGTATGATTGTATTGTTATAATCAAAATGATAATTAATTAGAAAATGATTGAGTCCATCTGTTTTTTGCAGTTGGTTGTCTTGAGAGGTCATTTTATCTATTAGGCAATAGTTGTGGTAATAAAAAGCTGACAATGCCTTGTGTCCTGAAACTGAATTTCACTTATATCATCCAGACTAGTATAACTAACTTTTCCTTCCTCTTTCTAAAGGGTAAAAAATCCATACATTTATTCTTGATTTTTATTAAGTTGTTCTTATGATTTATTTCACAGGCAATGCTTGGATCTTATGCAGGGACATGTTTACGATACGTTACGGATAAAACAACATCATGATAATTTCTAAAATATAAGAATAGGACTACAGCAAGGCATGATAATAAAAAAATATCTTTTATATATTGTAATCGTCAGTTAAGAATACATGATAAATATTGGGATGATTTTTAAAAATCAATTACCTTTATAAAGAAAAACTAATGTAAATATGGCAATAAAAGAACATAGAATGCCGTTACCCGCATGGAAATTTTCTTTTTCTTCTTTCTTAATCTTTGCCGTATCTGGTCAAATTCAATAGTATTCCAACATGTTCTGGTATGTATGTCAGAAGCGTTAAAGTGTCGAACACGAATACAGCAGGAGTACGCAAGAAGTTCAAACGCAAGAGGTATAAAGTATTACCTTGTACATTTAGAAGTTGAGTGCTTCCTGTGTTTTCTGTCATTTTATTTTATGTCCACTTGATGAAAGTGATAAGTTTCGGTTTACAGGCATTCGGTTTATAAAAATGATATATTTCGGTTCACAGGCATTCGGATAGGTTGCACGACTTGTGAGACAACATAACTTTCCAGCATTTAAATATTTATGGTTTCTTTTTGTTTCAAGTTTTGATACTCAATGACATTTTAGAACCCAGTTCTGTGCTGAAACAGAACGTGAACATGAAAAATAAAGAGAGAAAATGAAAATTACCAACAGCAAACAAAAGTTTAGATACAATGGAAAAATTTTAAGCTTATTAAGGGAAGGTTTTCCTCCATAATTGAGCATGACAAATGCTAGAATTGTGATCCATTGTGGCCAGTTGACAAATACTGATATCCCGACTTAAGATGTTCAGTTGTTTGAACATAGCAATAATTGTGAGTTGCATCAGAAATCCAAGCTCCAAAAATTGCCTAGAATACGCTGTGATGTTTTTTGCGTTCATTTTGAAGGAATTACTATGCAGGATTTGCATAATATATGAGACTGTTACTGGAGAAGGTTGATGATTCAATTTAGACTCCTTACGGAAACACTGGCCTTTTTTGCAAGCTCGTTTCACATGAAGAAGTTGAGCTGAAATTCTGTAGAATAAATTAAGAATAGTTACTTGGAAGCTTCCGCAGAATAAATGGATGCTTGAGTTTGTGTTCTTTTATGTCAAGACAGTACATACCCCTGATTTGATGATTGAAATGAGCTCCTCAAACCAAACTCGAGCTTAGCAGCTGAAACACTTTGTCTCGATCAGCGTAGATGTTTCTTTATGCCGAGCCAGAATGCTTATAAAGATCAAAGAAGCATACCAAAATGTTTAGTCACTACTATAAATAGTTAAAACTTCATACATAAAGGCAAACAGTTTTCAAAGCAAGTATAAAAGAAAAACACATTAAGATGCATTGCTTTACATCTTCAAAAGCTCAATCCAGGCAAAGATTTTAACTTGTGGCTCCACCGAGCTGAAAGAAATGATCATCGGAAAAACAAAGGTTGCTGATCAATGTTTTACTGAAAGGATATGTTATGCATCAATATGAAGAATTGAGCTACAATGGAATGAAACTTCCAAGCATTAATGCACAACAGAATAATATTACAAAGAATTTTAACACGTACATTTAGAATATCAATTTGGCTTTTACAGAAGGTCCCAGCTCAGCCAATTTTACCTGCTTGATAAAGTTCTTACCTTATCTTATCATTTATGCTTGCACCGCTGACATGGAGGAGAAAAAAGATTTCTGTGGTAGGAAAGGAGCTGCTGCCAGAACAACTTGGAAACCACCAATGAATTGAAGTTATTTCATCCTGTCAGATAAGTTCCACAATATCAGATTTTTGTTTTGAAGCATTTGGGATAAAAATGGTAGTACCAAAGAAGGGTAGAATAAAAAAAGAGAAAGCAATCCTAACAAGCTTGGAAGTTTTCATTATGCTAAGAATGATGATTTCTTTTAATATATGGCTTCTGATCATAAACAACGAATCTATATACTCAAAGAGTATGATATAGGGATTATGGAGGGTGGAATATGGTTCAAGGATTCGGAATGTCCAAGGCAATTATTGCTGGCTCCGGAAGAGCACCTTATTCAGAGTAAAAGACACAAATATTATACATAAAACATAAAGTACAAATGATTTTCCTTCGCTATAAAAGGAGAACGTTTTGCAAAGATATCAGAACCCTGGAAATAAGTAAATAACTAAGTAATAACTTACCACTTTCATAGGAAACAATGTTTCCCTTGGGGGAATTTTTGCGTCACTGACACTGTCCTCACTCCTAAGTCTGGCAATAAATCTTTAATATCTCATCATTTATAAGAAATTGAGTTCTCAATGGGATTGAGGCAGGGATTTTGGTATTGACTCATTCAGGCTGCCATATGGTCAATTTGACAGCAGTGAAGGTAATCCATGCTTCTGCTGAGTAAACAGCATTCATCTTTTTCAGGTCTTTCCATCTGCTTTTGCAAACCACTTTGTGTGCTCCTATAAAGGCACTACTCACTGGCCTCTGCAACTTCCAACTGACTGAAACCAAAATTAGATATCAAATTAATCTTCACGCATATAAGAAAATAACAAGCATTTAATAATTGAAACCATTCTTGAATGATTCTACAAAAGAAAAAAAAAATCAGAAGTCAATGAAACAAAATGATTAATAGATATAAACATTTAACACATCTGTTCTGTTCTTGAAATTGTCCTATAGGAAATTTTTATCAGAAGACTGAAAGAAATATGTTTAGACTATAAAAATGAATTTTCTAAAATTTTCTAACTTTTAGTAAACAATCCAATGCCATAGTTACTCATTCTTCTCTGTGAAAAATCATAGGTAAGGCAGAAAGGAAGTACACATAATGAACAGCCAAATACATGAGGATATCATGAATGATTCATGAACACAAGAAAAATATATATATACAGAAATCAGCTATAAGACCTACTCATTCTGGAACTATTCTTAAATTTTCTTTTAAAATGGCAGCAAAACATTGAATCTATGTATCAAACCTGCAGAGAACCATGTGCAAGTTCCAATAACTTCTAAATTAAACCATTACACTCCATGATGGAAGGAAGAACCTCATTCTCAATTCTGCAAATCTAGATTACACTACAATTAAAAGTTTTGTATAAATGAGATTCACTCGTTTCTAACAAATGAGCTTCAAAAATACCTGTCCTCAATTTAATAAGCAGGATTTCATCAATGGTTAAAAGGTTAAAGTCTGAATTTGATTCCTTTACTACCTCAATCCTATCGGTTTAGTCCAACTTCAATTTTAATGAATTTAGTCCATGTATTTTTATTAAAAGTAGACTTTTCTTTTATATATTTTCCATTTCATTGTAAAACAAGAAGCTATGTGTGGAATGGATTGAACTAATGAACATTTTATTATGATATAAAAAATATAAATCACTTGAGCACTTGATTTAATAGTACGTTAATGTTCTTCAAATAAGTAGCATATAATTGCAAAGTGACATATACCTGATTTCTTGGCGTTTCTTCCGGTGACAAATTAACCAATTAGAATGCAACGTATGTGGGCTATTTTGGGCCACTCTTGTCCTTCATCCTTCTTGCATCGTTCTCTTAGCAATGGACAGTTAATAATATATAGATGAAAAAGTGAGTCAAACATCTCCCCTTCTGGGAGGAATTTGAGCCTGGGGCATCCTCGGATATCCAATGATTCAAGAAATTTGAGATTTTGAAAGCCCTTGGAGGATAGAGTTTCTAGGTTTGGAAAACCGAAGATGGTGAGGGAGGTGAGAGTGCGAGGCAGAAGCATTTCCTCACATGGGAATGACACCACATCTACAGAAGCACCGTTGATGTACAAATGTTTAAGGGAGGTGAGTTTGTGCAAACCCCACGCAATCACTGACTTGCAAATATTGGGTTGCGAGATTTTAAGTGAAGTGAGATTGGGAGGGAACCCCTCTTCTGGAAATGATATCACCCGTGGACAATCCAATATGAACAATTCTCGCATAGAGACGATATTGTGGATGCAGTTGGGTAAGGCCTGTAGTTTTTCACACCTAGAAAGGTGAAGCTTTCTGAGTTTAGTGGTAAATGACCCACTTCCAGGGAAGGAAATCAAACTTGGACAACCCCAAATAACAATCTCCCCAAGATGGTTGAGCTTGTTTAATCCATGAGGCAAAGATCTGAAATTATTGCAACTGCCGATAGTTATTAATTCAAGGGAAGAGTTCTCTTCAATTTCTTGAGCTATGGACTCTAGTACTCGGCAATTATTAATAGTGAGGTATTTAAGCCCCATAGGTAACTCGCCCCTTGAGGATAAAGATATCAGAGACTTACAATTTTCAATTACCAAGTGCTCTAGAAGAGGCCTGCTGTTGATGTTGTTATTTACTCCACCCAGCAAGTACTGCAAATTCTCACACTCCTTAATGGTTAAACGTCTTAAATTTGGAGGCAAGTTTCCATTTGAAATTGAAATCAATCTTGGGCATCCTTCAATTTGTAGCTCCCTAAGGGATCTGTAGCTGTGTAGGTTTTCTGATAGCCTTTCTAGCCTTACACAACGATGTATGCTCAAATGTTCAATACGGCAAGGGATTCCTAACTGCCTATGCTCATCCTTTCCGTCCTCTGCACCTATGGAAACTGTTGAACAATTGTCAATTTCCAAAAAGGGAAGACGCCTCAAATGTGTTGAGGGTCCTTCCTGGTTCTGCCATGAAGAAATTAGCTCCTCACATCCATGTATATAAAGACGTTCTGCTTTTATCAACCCTAACATCATCCCCTCCATTGGAGAAGTGAATTTTGAAATGTCTGAAAGAGAGACTTTTTCAATGAATGAGCCAGATTTTGTACAACTTGTAGACGCCACCTCTTGGCACCCATAAATTTCCAAGTCAGACAACTTTGGAAGGCTTGAGAGTGAAACTACCAACTGCTCACATTCTTCAATCACAAGTTTCTCCAATGAAGGAAGACAACAAGGTAGACTTCTCAGTTGTTGACACAAATTAATCTCTAGCTTCTTCAAGGAAGGAAGACGATTAGGTAAACTTCTCAGTTGTAGACACCAAATAATCTCTAGCTTCTTCAAGGAAGGAAGACAACTAGGTAAACTTCTCAGTTGATCACACATATTAATCTCTAGCTTCTTCAAGGAAGTAAGACGATTAGGTAAACTTCCTGACAACTTGGGGCAATTTGAAATGATGAGCTCATGGAGGTGTTGGAAACTCCTTACATTTTCATCAACTTCACAGGGATCCCATTCCTCCCACTCTGGCATGTCCTTAAAACGTAATTTCTCTAGTGACGGAAATGCATTAATCGACAGATCCTTTCCAAAAAAATTAGCACCCACATTTTTTATCTTACTCATCCTCTGGATAGAAAGCGATTTTATCGACGGTAATCTTCCAACAGGTGGTAATAATGTGCAATTTGGACAGTCATACAGATTCAGAATCGATAGCTTTTCAAATGAGGGATCTCCAATCCAATTTGGGAATGTTTCACCTCCATAACATTCGATGGTGAGCCTTTCAAGCATTTTAGGAGGTTGGAGTGAATCCAACACGTCCTTGTGAATTTCTTTTCCTGCGACATTATAACTCCACTCCAAAGCTAAATCACGAAGGTTCGACTTATGACGTAACCCAGCCATCCATGCATCTTGAGCTTCGACAACATTCTGCAATTCTGTAATAAAAAGTTCACCCTTAAGATTAGACAAATTCTTCATCTCGCTAATCGGACGACCATTGTCTTGACTCACAACAAAATTTGTCAATGTTTGGAGATTGGTTAGTTCACCGATTCCCATTGGCATCGTTTTTATTGAATCTGCACCTGCTATGTCAAGATGCCTTAGGTTAATTAAAAATCCCATTTCAGAAGGAAGCTCTTCAAGACTAGAACAGCCCCGCAACAGCAAGGTCTCTAAATTGTAAAGCTTGCATATTGAATCCGGCAGAATTTTGATTAGAGTGTAAGAAAAATTTAGATAACGCAGATGCACCAAATCTCCAATAATATTGGGAATCTCCGTCAGGTAGAAACCTTGTAAAGAAAACACCCTTAAGTATTTAAATTCTGGCAACAACTCACTGAGAACTTGATTAGAGAAATTCATCCACCCTCCAGGCATCTTCAACGGTAGGAAGGTTCTTAAATTCTTTCTTTTAAAGACTTGGAAATTTTTAATTCTGTCTTTCCCACCAACAATGCAAGATAAATGGCGAGGATGACGGGAAACGTTCAATGCCTTGTCATCCTCCACTCTGAAGCATATATCTTTGGCAACTGATTGAGCCAAATCATTAATCAGGTCATGCATTATATATCGAGACTCATTCTTGCTGGATACTTCAAAAAATGACCTCCGTACAAGTTCTTGAAAGTACTCATGACCCAAATCTTCATTTCGCTTTGTAGCTTCCACTCGCAGAAAGCCTTCTGCCATCCATAATAGGACTATTTCTTCCTCGGAAAATTCATAGCCTTTGGGAAGTATGGCACAGTAAGCAAAACATCGCTTTAGGTCTGCAGGAAGATGATGATAGCTTAATCGTAAAGCTGGAATTATGCTACTCCTCTCTTCTGGTAAATTCCAAATCTCACTTCTTAGTATCTTTTCCCATTCACCAACGTCCAGCTTATTGCGCAAAAGGCCTCCAATGGTCTTAGCTGCTAAGGGCAATCCCTTGCACCTCTTCACAATCTGTACACCATATTCTTTTAAGTTCGGATGCCCACTAAAATCTTTTGCTCCTAATGCATGTTGAGTTAATATAGAAATGCAATCACCATCTGACAACTCTGGCAGCTTGTAACCTAGGATAGTACTCACCATTAATGAAACACTTTGACCACGAGTTGTCACAACAATCGTAGCTCCTATGCCAAAAGGGGATATTAGACGAGTCCAATCATCATAGTTTTCATGCCAAAGATCATCCAAAATCAGAAGTAGTTTTTTTCCCTCCAGCTTCTTCTTCAATTTTATTTGAAGGTTATTCAAATCATCTCCAACATTAAAAGATTCAGGACTAACTGATTGTAAGATTGATTTCGTTATCTCCTCCATCTTAAAGTCATCAGAAACACATACCCATGCTTGAAAATCAAAATGCTTAACTACACGACTATCATTGTAGACAAGCTGAGCAAGCGTTGTTTTGCCAATCCCTCCTTTGCCAATGATGGGAATCACAGAAAATTTATTGCTATCATCACTCCCAAAAATCAAATCAAGGATTGTTTCCTTGTCTTTTTCCCGACCGTAGACTTGAGTTTCATTCACCAAACAAGTGGTTGATCGCCATTCCCATGTTCTCCTGGGCCTCCCACCACCATTTTTAGTCAGAGCCAAGAGACTTATACCTGCTTCTAAAACTTGAAATCTAGCAGTGATCTCTTTTATCTCGGACATCATTTCCTTATTAAATGATAAATTATGACCCCTGAACCAGGTAAAGCAAGCATCAACAAGCTTTTGTAACTTCCTTGGGCGGTGATCTTGATGTTCCCTTGTTAACTTGAGTCTCAAAGCTTCAGTAGCAAACTTATCCAATATGTCATCCACATCGTATGCCAAGTCTTGGAGGTGGACCAACCAACTCTTCACACGCCCATCATTCATTTCCTTCTCCTCGGCATCATTTAGAACTGCGTGAATATTGCGCAGTGTCTTTTCCATCTTGTTGAGCTCCTCGCAAACTTCCTTCTCAGTTACAAAGTTGAGAAACTCAGAGGAGGCCAAATTACTAAACAACCCTTCAAAGAACACAGATAAAGCAGCTTCAACGATGGACATGGCTTTTGACCTGCAAAAACACAGAGATTATGTGTAAAAATGATATAGGGATAAACTCAAAAAGACTGGAACTAGAAGTAGAACACAACCAACAACCCCACCAGTACTGAACCCCATCTTGGTATATTTCTTTGTGGCTTATATCTCCGCGTTAATTTTTTCTAATACTCCTATTACTAATTAAGAAAGTTAATTAATTATTCCAATCAGACTATTTGTTAGACTATAGATGAAAATTGGAATATCGGAAAACTTAAACAATGTATTTATTTTTTTCAAGTGTTTTAGAAATTAAAACCAAAACCGTGATTTGCAACTTGCAAGTTGTTTTTAAAAACCAAAAGTAAAATTTTAAAAAGTTTTGAAAATTATTAAAAATACAAAAATAATATTTCTAATATTTTGAAAATATTTTCGACATTATTATCTTAATACTATTCATCTATTCGATTATAATACTTGTTAGAGTTAAAAATCTAATGTTTGAAAATTAAAAAAAAATTATTCTTGATAAGATTTGAACTCATATCCTCTTACAATTTAAAATTTTAATCACTTTTTTTATTAAATTTCTCTTCTTAAATTTTTGGAAAAAAATTATATCAAAACACTTTTTAAAATTTAATAAAATGATAAAAACTAAAATAAAATAAAATATTCAAAAACATAAAATTGGCAACAATACAAAACCACCCTGTTTCAAAATTTCAACTTTTTTTTTTCCTTAAAGTAAATGTATTTGTGTCGATTTGACATAAGGGTAAATCCATTTCTACTAGCAATTGGCTGAACAAAAAAAAAAAGGTAGACCATATATCAGAATTTTTTTCTTTTTATCAAGCAAACTTTAAAAATCTTTAAAAGGGTGAAAATCTTTGATCTACCAATAGTAGCAAACAAATTGGAACTCCGAAATCTAAAAAAAAAAAACAAAACACTTTTTATAGCATTCTGTTATTAAATATTTAATCAGAAATTTTAAATTTCAAAAGTTTTTATCTAACTTTTAATTTTGAGTCCAAATTATTATTTGTCTTTAATTATTTATTTAGGGTTTCAATTGATTAATAAGACTCAAACCAATAGTTCATTCTTCCTTCTTATAATATACCATGTTATTTTATTTCTCGTCTTATTTCTTTTATCAAAGTTTTAAATATTTTATTATTTTTAAACAATTGGAACAAAAATAAAAATAAAATAAATACAAAAAATAAAAAAATAATTATGAAAATCTGGATAAACAAAAGTAGATAAATCATAAATTTTTTAAAGAAATATCCTAAAGGAAAAGAATCAAATTAAATTCCTATAATGATTAAATTTTCGAGATTAAGATAAAAGTGCAAAGTATTTTCTAGAGCAATTTTTTTTCTAATATGGAATTGCACTTCAAAGAAGACTAGTTCCATATTTAAACAAATGAAAAGCAATCACAATACAGAAAATGAACACAAAACAACAAGAATCGTCAAAAGCAACAACAATTAGCAAAAAAAAAAAAAAGGGCAAAACATTTTTAGTCACTGAGTGTTTTCAGTTTTAGATTTGATTAATTTTTAGGGTTTTTTTGGAGTTTCTAAGTTAATAAGAAGAAAAAGAAAGTTTTTTGGAGGCCTGTTTTGGGTTGTAGATGTAGACTTTTGGATGAATATTTTGTGAAGTCTAACTTAAAATAAGCAAAAAGGAGATCATAAGAAATTAAAAAGAAGATTTTTGAAAAATTTTATCACTAGTATAAAATGACAGACAACATCACCGATGAAGTTTTCAATGACTTTTTTTGGATTTTATGATTTGAGGGTATTATTTGACAGATTGAATTCTTGAACACCAAACATTTATACTGTTAGGAAAATGGGGTCCAATCCTATGTAAGTGGTTTTGGACCAAGTAAAGGCCATGGGCCTTGATATTTTATTTTACACAGAGCCCTAGCTACTTAATAAAAAAAGAGGTGGGGTTGTTTTAGGTGTGTGTCGAAAACCAAGCTAAAAAAGAAGAAAAGCCAGGAAAAACAGAGAGAGAAAAAAAAGAAGAGAGAGTTGGTTGAACGGAAGTCAATCCGTGGTCCGATTGAGTTGGAACCTTGTCAGGAGGTTTATGATTCAGAGTTCTACATTCTAAACGGTGAAGATCGGGTTTGAAGCTCTCTAGGAACAAATCCAGGGTGTATTTGTTGAGTCACTTATTTGGTGAGATTTCTTCAATTATTTCTCTAGTTGTTGATTAGCTCTAGTTTTAGCTAGAGAAGAACTTTGTATAACTATTATTTGATAGTGAAGATTTTTCTGGTGGCCCGTGGTTTTTTCCCTCTACACTGGAGGGTTTTTCACGTAAATCTTGGTGTGCTTTATTTTTCCTGCGTATTTGATTATTGATTGCTGTCTATTGCTTCTGTATTGTTGTGATTATTGCTTCAGGTGCAACAAGTGGTATCAGAGCGAGGGTTATTTTGAGACATCGATACAGAAGCAACCCAGGATAGAAGTAAATTCTATTTAAGATCATGGAGGGTGATACAGGTTTCATGATAAAATTGACAGCATCGAATTATTCAATTTGGAAGCCTATGATAGAAGATCATCTATACTGCAAAGATTTGTATGAGTCAGTATTGGGAAGATTCGGCTAAACTAGCGGATATGAAAGATGAAAACTGAAAGAAGCTAGGTAGAAAAATGCTGGCTACAATCAGAAAATGGGTTGATATCAGCGTGTTCCATCAAGTAGTGCAGGAATCAGATGCTTACATTGTTTGAGAAAAATTGGCAGCATTGTATGAGAAAAATAGGTATGAATAAAACTATACTTGTTAAAAAGATTGCAACTTTACAGTACAGGGATGGACGATCTGTTACAGAACACTTGAGTGATTTTCAAGATATATTTAATCGAATGACTACTATGGAGCTTAAGATGGATGATGAAATGAAGGCATTATTTCTTTTGGGTTCATTGCCAGACAGTTGGAATACTCTAGTTGTGACTGTTCTTAATTTAGCTCCTGATTATAAGATGACATTGGAGATGGTAAATGATAGTATGCTTAATGAAGAAGCGAGGCGAAAAGATGTAGACCTTGGGAATCAAGCTCTAGTCATAGAGAATAGGGGTAAAAACATCGACAGAGGTCAGGACTCAAAAAGTCGTGGTAAGTCTAAACATAGATCCAAATCTAGAGGTAAAGTGAAGTGTTTCCATTGTGGTAAGACGATTCATATAAAACGAAACTGTAGAATCTTAAAGCAAGAGCGAAAAAATGAGAAAAGCAAGAGTTCAGATGATGGCAATGTTGCAGCAGTGAATTCAGATAGTGATTCAGTTACTTTGATTTGTACACATGGTGATTGTAATCATGTTAGTGATCCCGACATTAAGTGGATAGTTGACACAGGAACGGCATATCATTGTGTTTCTAAGAGAGAGTTGTTTACAACTTACAAAGCAGGAGACTTTGGTTGTACCAAGATGGGAAACAAGAGTGTGTCGTAGATTGTTGGGATTGATGATATTATTGTACAAACTAGTACAGGCTGCATGTTGACTTTGAGGGATGTCAGACACATTTCAGATATGAGAATAAACTTGCTTGCTATTAATGTCCTTGATAAGGAGGGATATAAAAGCCGACAAAAGAATGGACAGTGGAAGCTTCTCAAAGGATCTATGGTAGTTGCAAGGGAAAAACTATGGTACACAATGTATAAGACATGGATGCAATTGAACGATAATCAGGTAAATACCGTTGAAAATGATGTTTCAGCAAACTTGTGGCACAGGAGGCTAGTACACATGAGTGAAAAGAGGTTACAGGTTTTGGCAATGCACTCTCTCATTCCCTTGACCAAAGGTATGTCTCTCGATTCATGTGATTATTGTTTGTTTGGTAAGCATCATAGAGTTTCTTTTCGTAAAAGTTCTCAGAGAAAAGAAAATAGATTGGAATTAATTTATTCTGACGTATGTGGTCACATTGAGGTTGAGTCATTAGGTGGTAGCAGATATTTTGTTACTTTTATTGATGATGCTTCACGTAAGACTTGGGTGTATATGTTAAAATACAAAAGTCAGGTACTACAGTATTTTTAAAAATTTTATGCCATGGTTGAAAGGATGACAGGGTTACCCTTGAAGTGTATTCGAACTGATAATGGTGAGGAATACACATCTAAAGATTTTGAAGAGTATTGCTGAAAGCATGGGATCAGGCATGAGAGGACATAACCTGGAACACCGCAGCATAATGGTATAGCTAAAAGAATGAATCGCACCATTGTGGAAAAAGTCAGATGTATGTTGAGGATGGCAAAATTACCAAAGCCATTTTGGGGTGAAGCAGTCAAGACAACTTGTTATTTACTTAACAGGTCACCATCAGTTCTTTTGGGCTTTGACATTCCAGAAAGAGTGTGGACAAGAAAAGATACTTCATACTCTCACTTGAAAGTTTTTGGGTGTAAAGCATTCATGCATGTGCCAAAAGAACAGAGGTCAAAGCTTGACAGTAAAGCTACACAGTGTGTGTTTGTAGGATATGGTGATGAAGAATTTGGTTACAGGGTATGGGATCCAGTAAAGAGAAAGATAGTCAGAAGCAAAGATGTAGTCTTTCATGACAAAGAAACCATAGCAGATCTTGAGAAAAATGAGAAGACTACACGAGTTACTGTTGAGTGTGATGTTTCAACACCGACAGAGATTTCACAAGAAAGAGCCACAGATGGTGAAAATGAGCCAGAAACAGAACTTGGGGATATGAATGAGCCAACCACAATTGGTGATGAGCTAGATGCTATTATTTTTTAGCAGGGGGAGCAATCCTCTCTACCTGAGAGTGTTGAGCAGGGGGAGCTACCTTCAGCATCAAGTGATGTAGAGTCTCAGCCCAGGAGATTTACTAAAGAGCGCAGGCCATCTACCAGGTATCCAAGTTCATATTTTATTTTAGTTACCAGTGAAGGGAAGCCAAAAAGCTTTCAAGATGTGCAGGCTACTCCGGATAGAAAG